AGTATACTGGAGAATTTGTACACAATTGAACACACACACATCCTAACACTAAGACTTGCTATTTATAGTAATAAAAAAAATTGCCATTAACGGCTAGCAAAAGAAATCGAGACAAGTGTCGATCTGCATGCCTTCGAACCCTAGAAGCGCCCCACGTGGCTTCTTTGAGAAATGGATGAGACCAAACTTTCCCTCCTTTATTTGAATTCAAACCTCATTGTCGAAATACCTTTAATGGCACTTCTGTCGAATTGAATCTTCCAACTGCTAAGAAATATATCTAAGTTCGTAACATAGATTCTCCAGGCAAAAGGACGTCTTTGACTCATATTCCAAAAATATGGCTTCAGACGAAGTCATTAAATTTCTTCAAAAAATCTATTTCCTACTTTTAATCCCATTCAGGCATCAAAATTAAGAGCCAATAGTACGATAATCCTAAGACATTCCTAGCATGTTCAAAGATACTTTTCAGGTGTACTTGTTATGTACTAATTCAAACTATATCAAGCCATGAGTCATACTTAATCGAATAAACTCCCATCCAGAATTACAAAAAAGAAAATAATAACATTCAGTTGACTAACTAAAGATTCCTAAATTTGTGATCACATTAATCTCAAACGTTAACTCAACCAAAGATGCATCAAGCTTGAAATTATGCACAAATTATAATCCAACCTTAATTGAAAACAATACATTCCAAAAGCAAAACTATTATAATTATCTATAAAGAATAAATTGTGATATTTCATTTTGTGTGTGTAGAGGATGAGTATACATGCAGAACAACAATCAAATATGAGACATTTCAACTGCTTTAGAGGCATTGTGATCTTAATCATCAACCATGTTAAACCTAAACATAATATGAATATGCTAAGAACACTGAAATCCTGCACATGTTGAAAAACTCATAATTGATAGTGTAATAGGGAAAAAGGCATTAAGAAATTGAAAAGGTTATGAAGCACGAAATTGCAAGAAATTGTAATAGAAAAAAACACAATAACACAAATTAAATAATAGATAGAAACTTCAAAATTATGTCGCACTATTAATAAACCACACAGATAAAAACAGGAGAAAGAGAACCAGATGGTTCAGTTACATGATTCTAGTTCTACCGAACATGTAAAGACCAAAATCCTTATGTCATTCATTGGTCATGAAAACTAATAGCAAAGCATCAAAATGAATTGAAGAGCCAAGTATGAATAATATACCTAATCTCCCCAGTATAAGCACCACCTTTGCAAACCCAACTATTTTAAGCAGCAACATGGAAGTCAGAGCAAAGTAAATTTTTCAAGAAGGTAAGGAACACATAAGGGGGGCTCACAACAACTTCTGTAAAACCAAAAACGCATATTTTAGCAGCTGGCACATGCCAATACCATAAGCATAATCACCATAACATCAATAAAAACTATAAGGTTGAATGAAATGAACTAATATGAGAAACACATAAATGAATATATACAAAAAATGGGCATTGTAGTACTAGTAAGGCAACTACAACAAAATTATGTGGTTGCACAATCTAAGGTAATATTCAAACTTACTTAGCGAAATAGATCATTACCAAGAGGGATCTAAGAATCAAATGTTTAAACATAAAAAGGGAATAAAAATTACTAGAATTCTACTAAGACTCACTAACAACGTCTTCTCTGGGGACTTTAGCTTCATTCAAAGTACCCACAATTTACTTCACCTCTTCGGTAGTTCTATTATGCAACAAAATCAGCCCAAAAAATAACAGTTATCACTATAGATCACTTAGAATCGATAACCTAAAAGCATGAAATCAGATAAAATCTTTTCACAAATTTTATATCATTATAGTGTAATACCTAAAAGTATGAAATAGACCTGTGTAGACAATCGATTATACTGTAATACCAAATTTAGAGAAACATGGATGAGGGAGAAGGGGGGGGGGGGGGGGGGGGGGCGGCCGTATAAGGTTTTTTTAGAGGAAAGAGATATGAGAGAAAAAGTGAAACGATGGGAAGGAAGAAAGTTTTGAATTTGAAAGAGAGAGAAAAGTGAACACGGGAGAAATAAAGAATAAAGTGAAAAATGAAAGAGCAAGAGAGAGAAAAGTGAAAAAAGAGAGAAAAATTTGTGCATAGGCCAATATTTGACAGACACGTGGGAGTAAAAGAGGAAGATTGAAGTGAAATTATATTGTGTTTTTTTATTTACTGATTTTAACCTTTTACTAGTGTAAAATGTTTTGACTAAAATGGCATATTTGGCAAATCATACAATAGATTAGTATTAGATAGATAGTAGATTATAAAAATTATGGAAGACGAATGAAAGATGATATAAAGATTAAGGAGGTAACAGATATCATCATTGATCTAATAGTGTATGAAGATTATAAATATAATATAGTTAAATTTTATAAAACAAACCTTAGTCTATATTAAATTTTATAAATTAATATTTTCCAAACTAATTTCTTTTTTATTTGTTTTATTGCAAGAAAGTAGTTAAAAGAGAAACACATTGTACTCCTTTTTAGCAAAGTCTATAATTTTTCTTAACTTCACCTTCCCTTTATTTACATGAAAATAATTGATTCTTTGAGTAAATTTGTTGAATAAAAAAATAAACAATAAGTATGTTGTCTGTTATGTTAAAAAGACAAAGATGAAATGGTTCAATGTGTCCTTTTAAGAGATAAGTGATGGTCTTATACAAAATATATATATCTTACAATGCGTATGTATTGTCTTTAAGATCTTGAAAATGCATGCACTCATGAAAATTTCTGTAGATTGCAATGAGAAGAAAGTGTTTGGTGATTCAATTTCAAGTGTTAATCATCAAAAACACATTTTTAGATCAGATTAGATCAGAAAATATTTATAGAGCGTCTTGCAAAAGCAACAAACAATTAACATGAAGAAGGAGAGAGCAAACTAAATAAGAACGTCGCAAAGACATAGAAGCTGGAAACAGAGCATGAACGGTGTGGCTTAAATCGTTCTATGGAAATATCGACATCATTTAAATATTGTAATCATTGCAACCTATAGGTTTGACATTTGGGAGTAGATACGGGCACAGGGCGTGCCCGTTTATCCGTTTTTTTAGTACGCACACCGATTAATATATAAACGGGTATATTTATGTAAACTTTGTGATAAACATTATTTGTATACTTTTTTTAGTGCGCGCACATAAAAATTTATAAATCTCTCCCTCATATACATTATGGAGAGAATGAAAGGATCAATAGAGAAAACTTGTAAGTAGAATTCAAATACATTATGGAGAGAATGAAAGGAATAACAGAGAAAAGTTGTAAGTAGAAGAATAAAAAAAAATTATAAAATTCAAGAGAGAATGAATGAGATAAGAGTGAAAAGTTATAAGCAGAAGAATAAAGAAGAAAATTAAAATTAAAATGAATATGCATACTAACCAAATAAATTTACCAGTATGTTTATCTTTATTGTGCATTTCAATTATTTTACAATTTATTGATGTGAACTATTACTTTTTCTTTTTTTTAAATCACACACACATATCAATTATTTTACAATATATATATATATATATATATATATATATATATATATATATATATATATATATATATATATATATATATATATATATATATATATATATATATATATATATATATATATATATATATATATATATATATATATATATATATATATATATATATATATATATATATATATATATATATATATATATATATATATATATATATATATATATATATATATATATATATATATATATATATATATATATATATATATAAACCAAATAAACTTACCTGATGGTGGCATGACATGATTACCATATGGAAAAAATGTCATTACCATTTTAAAATTAAACAAACTCTATTTCTCAATTTTTAAAAATGTGCCAAGCAATTGTTAAAATAAACGGTATGATTTGGAAGTTAAAAAACTGCACATTATAAGTTAAAAAATGTATAATATAATAGTTTAAAGATTTTAATTAAATTTAATGTATAACATAATAGTTTAAAAAATCACTTCAAAAACTTATATATATATATATATATATATATATATATATATATATATATATATATATATATATATATATATATATATATATATATATATATATATATATATATATATATATATATATATATATATATATATATATATATATATATATATATATATATATATATATATATATATTACTTTCTATAAAGGTTGAGATTTTTTTCACATCCAGCAATTTATAACTTATCTAACTAAACAAACAAAATTATTGGTATTATCGATAAAAAAGAATATAACTCAATTATTAACGGTTATCGTTTTTCATGATCATCTTGTGATAAAAAAAGTTTGAAGAAAATTGTTATACATGAAAAAGTTTGAAGAAAATTATTAACGGTTATCATTTTTCAGAGTAACTCAAAATAGTTGTTATACATGAAAAAGTTTGAAGAAAATAGGATAGAGAATAACTCAAAAATATCAACAATAAAAAATGATTGTTATTATTTGTCGAGTTTCGCGACTTCTTCCTTTTATCCACCATCACATCATTCCTGACGGCAATCATCCTTCCCCGCTAAGACTCCTTTTTCCTTCAAACCACCGTTTTTTCTTCTTATTATCACCAACCTCCCTTTTTCTTTCTCACCCCACCTCCTCTTCTAATCACCTAGGTACTATTTCATCTCCATAATTTATCTTTACTCTAACTATTTTTACTTTTATAAATTTAGTTATCACAACTCATTTCACCTATTTAAAACCATAGTTTGTTAATTTAATCCACCTCAAAAATGGTACAAAATCAATAAGAATAATAAAATAATTATCTGTAATTTCCATTTTTTTCTCTGATTTCTCTCTCTTTTTTTCCCTTTAAATTCTTATCGCTACAGAGAATTCTCTTGAATTCACGTTTCCTCAAAGAAGAAAATCAACAGATCCAATCGAGATTCATCGATGGCGGAAGAACAACCGTGTCAAGCTCCTGAAGGTCATCGTCTCTGCGCTAACAACTGCGGCATCCTTGGTAATCCAGCAACCATGAACCTCTGCTCGAAATGCTATGGTGATATCCGGTTGAAGAATCAACAAGACGCTTCCACCAAATCCACCATAGAAAACGCTCTCTCATCATCTTCCGCCGTCGCATCCGTCGCCTCGCCGACGCTTTTGACATCAGAGCCAGTCGTTGTTTCGACGCCGATTTTAACAAATATTGTGTCAAATTCTGTAACGACCGGTTCGAATTCTGTTATGGTTCAACCGAACCGGTGTTTGTTTTGTAGAAAGCGCGTGGGGTTGACCGGGTTTAAGTGTAAGTGTGGGTCGATGTTTTGTGGAACCCACAGGTACCCGGAGAGACACGGGTGTGGGTTTGATTTTAAGACGGTGGGGAGAGAGGAAATAGCGCGAGCGAACCCTTTGATAAGAGCGGAGAAGCTGCAGAGAATTTGATTTGATCTTAGCCGTTGGATGAGATTTGTATTAGATGATCACGGCCCTCCACGTGAACCGTCAGGAAATGAGATCATATATATGGTGATTATTATTATATGTAAAATGTATGATTTTTCTGATAATGATTTTATGATTTAAGATTACAGCTGGTTTGTCTTTGTCTTGAATAATTTTGATATATGTGTTTGCGTATGTATAATATTAAATAGAATATCATCAAACAAATACTTTAGAAGATTAATAATTTTTGTTATCGAACAATATTATTATACCGTAAAATCTATTGACTTGCAGCTTATATGTCAATTGTTTTTCAGTATAAAAATATATACATTTTGATCTCTTATTATAAAATTTTGATATTATACTTTTGCTACGTTGACTTGCAGTTTAATTTTAAAAGTATCCAAATTCTCCCTTCTAGATAGTATATATTCATGTAAGTCAGATTATTGGAAAACATAGACGAGCCTTCTTAAGAAAAGGGTCGCAAAATTGAATATTATGAGTGTATTTTTCATTTTAAAGAACATAGGAAATTCTCAACCAATTAAGACTGCTATACCAAATTTAGTCAAAAAGCTCACTTGCCAAAAATAAATGTTGTATATTCTCATCTTTTTCGCCACAGTCCGAGTAGTGTTTGATTAATTATTTAGTTAATTAAATATAAATTGATATAATTAATTATTAATTAATTATATTATGATTTAAATTGTTAGGTTAATTATTTAATTAATTAAATATGAATTGATATAATTAATTATTAATTAATTAAATTTAGCATATTGTTATATTAAAAAATAATCGACAATAATAAGAACGATATATCTTGTAGGATTTGAGAGACGGATGTTGGAAGAGTGTGCGTATGAGAGAATTGTTATCCTCATTGTCGTTTAGGGTTTTTGGAGTGAGTTAATTGTTTAATGGGGAGACACTTAAATAGCTAAGCGGCTGAGGGCAGGGATCTCTCATTGGGCTTAACTGAATGGTCCAACCTGTCACGGTCCATTCTAGCACAAAACTCAATCAAATAATTCATCTATTTAGTGGTTAATAACAATAGATCATAATATAATTAATTATGTCAATTCATATTTGATTAATTAAATAATTAATCTAACACGTAGTAGTTCGTTTTATTCCTTGTCCGACTAAATTATCTTTTGTTAAAATTTTGTTGAGCGACAAAATTTTGTTTCAAATTAGCTCATAGGGAACAAACACAACTAAATCATCTCTTACTATTGCTCAGAACAATCTGATATGTTGTATATTTTTCATTGAATTGATACAACTAGTAATTCTCCTAAAAATTATTTAGTTGAAAAAGATGTCTGAACATAGTAATTTATGCTTGTTTTCAAATGGAGAATTTGAATCTGATATATGTCAGAAATTGTCTTAATCAAAGTCTATGGCAGTAAAACTTTTGATCTAAGATGATTTCTGAAAGTATCTATAGATCAAATACTCGCATAAATAATTCCTTGTTTCTCACATGCACAAAGTGTAAAAATTTCTTGTGACACATGTATCACTTTTTACACCTGTCTGAAATGTCTTTAGCACGCTTGAAATTATTGATGACTTGAATTTGAAGGGAGTTAAATTTGTTTTAAATAGTTGTATCTTCAAATTCTCTTTTATGTCATTTAATTCTCCCAACACATTTTCAGCACACACAACCTTTATCACCGTCTATTTTGTGCTCTAACTGTAAACCCTAGAAAACCCCTTGAACTCCCTACATGGCATTCTCTTCAACCAATCCTCTGAAAATGAATTCCATGAAAACTCTTTCGTTTCCCCGATGGAGAATTGCCTTCTTCCCCAGCAGAGTGTTGTCTCCTTCTCCCCATTGAAGATTTGTCTTCCCTGTTGGAGTTAGCGTCCCCGGTGTGAAAGATTCCCCCTGAGCAGCACCTTTAGTCACGTTTGAACTATTTTGTTTGTTTTGCCTTGGATCTTTCCCCGATGTGTTGGGTCCCCGTGAGTAGTTACTCGTTGTATTGCCGTTCTTTTATCTTTGCTCGTGTGTCTGCATCTGTCTTGCATTCAAGCATCATAAAGCCTCATCTAGATTCATGGCATATTCACATTTGTCCTTTTGCATACCATCGGATCTAAGGGACAAAATTTTTGGTTCGCTATATTTCAATACCTTTCACTATGACTCTATGAGGATTGTCATCTCTCATTGTCATCCAGTGAAAAATATTTAAATAGGGGCAATTGTCATACCCCAAATTTTAACCCCTTAGATCTCCATCATCATTTTAGGATCATACTCATTTGATTATCTAACCTTAACACGTTTCAAGTTTGTCTTTGTTAAGATACAGGAATCAGGGTTCCATACAGTCGAAATCGAGGTTTCGAGGGTTAATCAGTCAACGTTTTGGATTGGTTCTCTTTGAGATAGGTCTCCACATCATCAAATATATTCCATCGGATCAAGCATGAATCCAATTTGATGTTGTCACCCAGGAATCAAGGACAGTGCAGTTCAGGGTGCCCGATTAGGGTTTTCAAGCAGGAAAAGTCAACTGTGGTTTGACTTTTGATCTAAAAGGTGTTACAATGGTGGTATCATGATCCATGAAGTTCATATGGCTTAGTGAAGTCTACTCAAGAAGTTTCAAGGCTTCAAAGGACCCGGAGCATCAACAGTCGACTCGGTAGCCACCGATCTATCGTTCGATTGACCGAAAAGTCAACTCTTCACTCATAAGGAATTTGACCTCAAGATGTGAATCAAAAATGTTTCTAATGACATATTGCACCTAACCATAAAATTTCATGACCATTGGATCAAGGGTTGAAGAGTAATCGCAAAAGTCGGGAATTAGGGCTTTGAAAGGGGCAAGACCATAACTCCTTGGCCACACATCCAATTGAGTGGGTTCAAAGCTCATTAGAAATCTCTTGACAAGTCCTACAAAAGTCCCAAAGTGTTCCATGAGCAGAAAATGCATAGATTTGGAGTTATGATCAAATTCATTACAAGAGGGAAAAATAACAGAAAATTTTCACTTTTAGGCTTGTTTTTCAGCAACTTTGAGAGGTTTTTTGGCCAAGTTCCTTTGGGAATCTGAAACTCATGAAAACATGAAAGTTGTAGAGCTACATGGAGGCTTTCAAAAATGTGGTAGAACTCCTCCATAGCCCTTATGAGCTGAGAGTTATGAATTTAGCAAGATGAGCTTTTAACACTTGAGTCCCACATTGACAGTTTTTCACAAACTCATCCTTTGACCACTTGAGCTATTCTCAGCCCTTGGATCATATTTGTATCTGATATTTAGAGAGTATAATGAAGGAAAATGCAGAAGAAGTGAAGGATTTGAAGGAATAGCAAGTTGCAAGCAAGTGACATTAAAATAATTAAAGAATTCAAGAGAGGAAAGAGAAACGTTTTGGCTCCAAACTGTAGCAGCTGTATTCAGTCACCTCATGTATCTCATTCCACTTGATTTTATCCTCACATTGAGCCAAGGATCTGTTTTTGAAGCTGCATCAAACCCTCGAGCAAGGGTTACCTTTTCAAACTTCCTCCAAAAGTGCCAAACTTCAAATTTGCCCCAAACCTCTTCATGGCCGATAAATAGAACCTTCCTCCCACTCTATCTCACACACTAGAGCTATTAAGGATATCAAAAAACTTATAGTTCTCCCCTTTCCTTCCTTGCTTGAAAGTGTAGAATTTTCTCAAAGTCACCAAAATCCACCATTTTGCACTTTTCATGCCATTTCTTGTTCCAAACACCAAAACACTTCAAAGACCACATACACACCCTTAAAATGGCCATTTGAAGTTGTTCCCATCATTACTTTCCTAAAAAAATTCATCAATCTAAAAGTCAACCTTCATACCTCCATATTTTGACTTTTATGCATTTTGAGAGCCAAATCACTACTTAAGTCCATTCCTACCACTTCAACCTCCCCAACACCTCATATCCATGATATTTTAGCTGTCTAAGAGCTCAAAGACCAGATGGAAGTTTATTTACTCAAACTGTCCCAAAAAATCACTTATTGCTTCAAGAGGAAGTAAACTCCAAACTTGTGCCAAAAAGAGGATCTCTGGGTTTCTTTGCTGTTAAGCTTGCTCAAGAAGGTCTACAAGAGGTATGTAATGCTAAGCCTCTTCACTATGCATCATATGTCATGTTTTGTAGTTGTTAGGATTGATTGAGTATTGTTTTGAAAATGATGTTCATGTTGTCCAAAATCCCTTTGGAATGATGTTTTTGTCAAGGATGTGTTTTTATTGCTATGTCCTTACTTTTGTCAGAGTGTGAGATTTTTGTGACTTAGGAGATTATGTGTTGACATGACTCTACCAAGATTGTGCCTTGTATTGTTCCAACTGTTTTTTTAGAAAACTGTCAACAAGAGATGCTCCAGGAGTTTTTGGAACTTTGTTATGATTGAGAGGTTTGAATTTGAATCTGTTCAGCTTTTATGTACTTGCATTGGCAACTGTCTTGAAAGATACATGTTACATTGTAATGAAAAACTGTGTTGCATACTTCTCATTTGGTATATGTGGTGATGTGGATCTATTAAGAATAGTAGCATGGTCATGAAGCTATTTTGGTTCTGCCTAGGATTGTTCATTTAAGTTTGTCAATTTATTGAGATTGTCACTAGGGCAATATAGTTTTGGTGTTTCTGCTAGAATGTTGAAGTGTATAAGCATTGGTATGTGTGATAATGAAATCATGTTTTTGGATGCCAAAACTATTTGAAAGGGAGCTTGTCAGTTTCCATTGCTCTGCTGTCTTAAATTGCTGCTTCTGTTTGCTCTTGTTTTCAAACCAAAACTTGGCTGGACTATGTTTTTATATTGAAAAGTTATTGATCATGATGACTAGTTGCTGTCCAGACCAGTTGAGTATTGGTAGTGTGTTTATGGCCATAATGAAGCATGATGCCTTGATCTGTTTGTGTAGTTTCTGCTGAATGTTTCAATCTTTTTTATCCAT